AACCTACTAAAAACTCAATTTTAATATTTGCAATAAAATATTTTAAACAAGAAATTAAATAATGTGATTAATTTGCTCTTTAAGAAAAATAAAGTAAAAATTAAATTAGAAATACTATTTCTATATTAAAAAATACACTATTGTAATCTTTGAAGAGTTTATCGTTATATATTTCGTGAAAAGTTAGGTATCGTTTATCAAACACTTACTCAGTAACTGTTTACCAAGTCACTTATTTTATTAGAATTCTTACATGGGGAAAGGGATGATAAAGACTAAAAGTCTTACTGCGTAAGTGACGGTGCCGACGACTTTTATTTGATTAGATTGAATTGTTGTTCATGCGTTTTGATGGACCAGGTACTTACATGGAAAGGTAAGATAAGGTAAAGTAAGTAAGAGTATTGACTCTTACTCGTAAGCATTTACCTGATAATCATTTGGATAAACTACATGTTAATCTTCATTACCATCATATATTAACTGCTTACAGAAAATAAAACAAATATATATTTTTGTAATTATTAAAAATATCCAATATACTTTTTAATGATCAGTTATCTATACTATATAAATTATTTGAAAAAAACTCTTAGAAATTATTTTTTATGCATAAAATATTGTTTATTGATGAGTATTACTTAAAATTTAAGATTGCAAGTGAACTGTGTATAAGTACAATTTATTAAAATATTTATGTTTGAATTTGTGTAACTAACTATAAATAAACATAAAAATCAAATACATATCTCATTTTAATTATAAAAAATCTTAGATATAATAAGGATAATATTTGAGTTCTAACAAAATATTTTATTATTATCTTTATAAAAATTATATTACCAAACCAAAAATAAATTATTTCGTTATTAAATCTAAATTGAATTATAATAAAATTTTAAATTATAGAGATTACACAAAAAAAACTTTTAAATAGTTAATTTGATACTAGTATCGATATATTTTTTTCAATTTTATCATATCTTCAAATTTATATTTTATTTAAAAACAAAAACATTAACGTTTTCCTAGAACCACATATTATATCGACAGACACAAAAAACAAAACATAACATTAAAATCGAGATATATCTTGTTACATTGCACGAGTAGCCTTCTAATTTTTATTAGAAGATATTCAAAACTATATTATGTTATAATTTTTTAAAATTAATTTGTTATAATAGTCAACAAACATAAGGGGGCTTTCATCATGTAAATTCTTTGTAAGTTTCTAACAAATTTTTTATTACTAAAAAGCGATTTATTTTTTTACCATTAACTTTCTTTAATATATATGTCAATTTACATTTGTAATATATAAGCAAAACAATACATTTTAAATTTTATTATTTCAAAGTCTTGTATTATTTATACGGTTTATGTTCCATGAGTCAAATAATCTTTGTCATTATTTTGGTGTTACTGTTGGTTTGCTACTTTGGTTTGTTGCTTAAATGTTTAACTTCTAACGAGGATGCTAATCAAATTCACGACAGCCAGCAAGTTGACCAAGTAGATAATTCTCGTGATATTTCTGTAAGTTGTGGTGGTGGCGGTGATGATGGAGGTGGTCAAGGGCGAGGTGGTGATTGTGAAGATGGTCATCGGGCAAGTGGTTGTGGCAAAGGTTATTGACAACCTATCGATTGTCACCATGAACATGTGTGGCTTTTGCCCTAATGCTCGAGGTTTTTCTTTCTTTTGTGTCATTTCTCGTTAAATAAAGAATGTATCTTTGTTGGGTTTTTTTATGTACAGTTTTACGATGTTATAATATACTAATATATCTGCATTTACAATATAAAATGTCTTGAAACACACATATATGATAATATATTTGTGTTTACATAGATGTATTTCGAATGCATCTTACATAAACTTTTATCTGGTAATCATTTATATGATTTTATTCCTTTGGTTTCATTGTTAATTATTTGAAAAATACTTGTGGATGTTTAGATTGACTTTGACACACCTCAACAGATCTTACAGGATGTAACACTCGTGTTTTCAATGTTAATCGTTCAAATACATTTAAAAAAAAAACTCTATATATCTATACTATATTATAAAACATTCGACAAAAACTCTTAAAAACCATTTTTATGCATGAAGTACTGTTTATTGATGCATATTACTTAAAATTCAAGATTACAAGTAAATTATGCATAAGTACAACTTATTAAATCTCTATTTTTGAATTCGTGTAACTAACTACAGATAAACATAATTAAATAGAGAATAAACATCTCATTTTATAATATATAAAATCTAAAATATAATTAGGATAACCATTGAGTTCTAACAGAATATTTTAATTATTATCTTTATAAAAAATTATATTATTAAACCTAAATTAAATTCTTTGTTACTAAACCTAAATTAAATTATAATTGAAAATTTGAATTACGGAAATTACACCAAAACACAAGAACTTTTAAAAAGGTTAATTTGATACTGATATCGACATATATATTTTTAATTTTATAATATTTTCAAATTTATATTTTATTCAAAGATAAAAACATTATCGCTTTCTCTCAAAACCACATAAAACCGTATTATATCGACATAAAAAAAAGAATAAAACTAAATATTGAAATCAAGATGTATCTCGATGCATTGCACGAGTACCCTTCTAGTAAAATAATAATACATTCAATATTAATAGAAAATTATTAAAAAATCATTTCTCTCACATCACATTAAATTAAAGAGAATTTTAAAAAATTCATCTTATCTTTCTTCATTTCTCTATCTTTGATAATTTCCAACAGATACGTAAAATAGATATTTTGGAGAACATTTTGCTCCATCAGATACTCTGAAATAGAGGTTATGGAAATTGTTTTGCTCCAACAGATGTTCTAAATACTTTTTGAAGAAAAAAATTTTCAAATCTTCAAATCTTTAATTTTGATATAAGAGAATTATTAAGTGTATTAGGATAATGAATTTACATAATATTTTAATAAAACATTATATTGAAATTATCAAAAAAGAGAATCTGTGAAATCAGAGTGTACTGTTTTTTAGAGATTTTATCTGTTGGTTTTTCATTTCAAAGAAAATTATAGATTATATGTTGGGGATTCACTTAGAGAACCTAGTAGAGCACAAACATCATCAAAAGTTTCATTGTCTCTGTTTTAGATAATTTGTTGGATATATTTTTTCTTTTGTCATAAAATAAGTGTTCACATTTCTATTTTTAGTTTGTCCAAAATAACGATCCTCTTTTAAAAGTAAGTGTTTACTTTTTCATTCTACATTTACTTATAAAATGGATATTTTTTTTATTAACGATAAAATTATCCTTTAGTTAATTAGAAGTATAATAATTATATATTTTAGAACTGTGTTTTTTTCATTGTGGATATTTATTTTGCGAATAGGAAGTATAAAATTAGCAAACTTTAATAAAATGATAATTTGATGTTGATACTTAAATTGATCATATATAAAAAAAATCAATTTTTAATATATAATCTCATTAGATTACTCTTCAAATGAACAATTGTAAATAGATGAAATATCTGACATATACACACATTTGATAGTTCATGTTTAGCCGATGTAAAACTCCAATATGTCACTTAAACATTGGTTAAATGGTTCCCCACATGAACAATCACAAAGGATGTGTTTGATACACTGAACATGATATAACATAACAAAACAACGATCATTGTTTCATGTTTAACATGACTTTTATGTGAAATAGACACTAGTCTAATACAGTAAAACAAAGTGGAACAAGCGTATTCCTCCCCCACCCCATGGAGCAAGATGGAACAAACTTATATTTTACAAATATACTCTCATAATAAAACCTAAATATTTTCTAAAATATCAAATACATCTCTTTTTTTACAATTTATTCATTCTTTAAATTTTATTTATCATATTTTATCTTTTTTAAACTTTCATTTTACTA